AATATTATTTTTATTGTGGAACAACATTCCTTAATTAATACCGAACACGCCCAAGTTCAAAAAAGTTTTCTACGTTCTAATTATAGGAAAATTTAAGAACGTAGATAATATATATTTTGCTGTTCGTCTTCAAATGGTGCGGTTGGTGGGGGAAATGGAATAAATAAATAGTATTAATATTATTTCTGACATTTCCAATTTAACTAAAAAACAATAATAAGAATCTTTTTATTGTCGGGATGACGCAGTTGGTTTGGAGGGTGGTTATCCACACGAATGACCCGGTATCGATCCCCCTCAATGCCTTCTGAATCAAGCTTGTCGCATGGGGCTTGCCTAGTGCGGTTTACATACACTATGTGTTTTGCAGGCAATTACACAATGGGGTGTTTACCCAGTGCGCACAAAGTGCTCACCCGAAGGGCAGAAGCTGTGGCAGAGATTGTAGCGACGACGGGTAATCCCGCGGTTCCAAAAAAAATAATAATTTATTAGATGGTTTCTGGTGAAGGATAACCAATTTCACCAAATGTTAAATTGAAAGAGTCCTTAAATTAGTAATTTTTGTGTAGAAGATTGGACCTGTCAAATTAGTGGAAACTTTGTTGCAATTTCTTACGTGTCATTGAAAAAAGGAAAAATTATATGAAATAACAAACTATTAATTCAAATTAAATGTTATAGCTATAGTTTATTTTAATTGTAATTCACAACAAACATTCCCTTTTTTTGCCATCTGATTCGATATACAATTGACCATTTTCGGTATACAATTAGCCATTTTATACATTTTGGTATAAAATGTATAAAATGCATTTGTGTTCGTATAAAGCGAGAGAAAAGTGTATATACAAATACAAATACATATATTTTCGTCCTATACACTTATAATTATACAAATACAGATCTTATTGTACAAATTACAATGTATAAATGAATTTATACCAAACTGAATAATCTGTATAAAATTGGACGTTTATAGCGAATTATACGAATCAAAAGCTCCAGAGCAAACATAAAATTTGCTATGGAGCACAATTATGCAAACTATAGCTATAACATATAAATATGATTTTTATGTTTGATATATGTGAAAGTTGCTCTTGAAAAAATTATTATTTTAGTATTAAATTGAAAGAGTCATTATTATTTTTTTGCGTGTAATTAGAAAACGACGTGAAATTTCATGTGTATTTATTTGTATTACACACATATTGATCGGATAAAAAAGGATTTAAAATGTTATATTCTGATAGCTACGTTTAAAGATTCAGTTGATAAAGTGATGAACAGAAGGGTCCAACTCTAACTGACAAATGAAGTCAAGTATGGGTCATTTTGCCCTTTTATTTTACTAGTGCTGTGACTTAGTTTGAGCTGGTAAAATTAAGGAAAAATTACTCAGATACACAACTTATTTGATCATATTCTCGATCTAAAATTCTCTACCATTTAAAAAATTAACAAAAATCCCTACTCACTCCTATTCTCGGTTGCATCACTTTACGCAATGTATCGGAATGTAATACATCACTTTATGCTGTGTATCGGGATGTAATACGTCACTTTACGTGACTTATTATCGGATACATTACTATATGTGATGAATTGATCGGATACATCACTATACACGATGTACGAGATGTAATACATCACTTAACGCGATGTTGTCGGATACATCTCTATATGCGATGTATCAGGACGTTGTGCGATGTATCAGGAATTGATATGTAATGTATCAGAACATTTTTTGGGATGTATCCGAATTCCATCAAATTTAAACGATTTTTGTAATTTAAAAGATAGGGATAAAATGTAATTAGCTCTTAACACTATAAAATTTGAATAAAATTCCCTAAAATTAAACAAATTTCCTTTATTTTTAGGTTTCATGCCCAATCAAACACCATGGCATAGTAATAATTATATAAATGGGATTTAAATTATACTAATAAAGTTGTAATGATATATATACTAATAAAGTTGTAATGATATATATATTTTTACACAAAAAGTAATTAGCATGTTATCATGATTTAGTTACCATTTATTTAAAGTTATCAACTAACATTATTAAATAAAGTTACCTGCAACTTGAAATTACTGCCTTTTACAATCTGACTGTAATATAAACTTTAGTTGTACTTTAAAGAATGAGAAAATTGCGGTGGGTGTCACGATAAATTGAGCATCTTCATAATTATTAAACCATGTGAACTATGCCCTTTTCATCTGCAATTTCTTTTACTTTTCAACTATACCTTATATAATCTTTAATAATAAATTATAACTCAATATTTTGTTTTTTGTTTTTTTGGATCTGGATAATAATAAAAGGTTGTGGTAAAGTAGTAAATATTTCTTTATTCTTAATTATAGATTTCAAATTTAAATTTCGGATATAGAATTATTGTAGATAGAAACGCCTTATTCCATTGTGAAACTTTACGATGTAAATTTAGATTAGTCAGCCATGCGAGGACCCTGAGCGGAAATAAACACTGCAAAGCTGTACTGAATAACTAGACAGTTGAAGCGATCACTGATGCGTGAATGCCGGGTTTGCCATTATATTAACCAAATCCTTTCAGCTAAATCTTAGCAAGTTATTAACATTTTAATTACAGATTTGATCCACTTTTGGGAAATGAGAACAAATTAAAGGCCTTATTTTTTTCTTTCTTTTCCTCCTGGCAAGAACTGAATTATCATTATATGAGGTACGACTAATGTAATTTTATTATATATGTTGAAGTAAAAGTTCAGTTTATCTAAACAATTAAACTGTCAAGAGCTTTTCTTTTATAATTTATTTAATTATGTCTTTGATACATATTATTTTTTCTCATGTGTTTAATTAACTAGGAGAAATATCTTTTGTGATAATGATAATACTGAAATTCGAAATTAATATAAAATTTCTACCTATTGTGACATGATATTTATATCTTTTATCATTATATGTTATAGTTGATCAAGATAAATGTATAAACCTAAGCAATTTCTTTTTTAATTTAACACTTGATATTTAAAACATGTATTAAAATTCAAATAAATTCGAAGCACGTACTAATAAGATGGCCATTCGGGCGTGGCACAAGCAGTTATTTTTGAAAGTGTATGGAAGTTGCTTTAACCTACAAGGGCCATGGCTACTCATTTCAACTTTTTCCTATAACTTCTTTTTCTTTGGTTTACCTTTCAATTTTCATGATGAATGGAATTCCTTTTTCTCTTATTCTAAATAATATAATAATAATTATTATCCCATTTTAGCTTTCTCAAAGAAAATTATTATTACATCTAAAAGTTATATCCATATGTCAGAGTCTCATATGTTACTAGCGACACTTTGAATTCTTAAAACTACTATTGAATTTAATAATCACGTTAAAATTCATTTTTTTAATAATAAGTATTTGAAAAAAATATCTCCTAGAAATTAATGTGGTAATTATTCTCGGTCTGTTTTAATTTTTAGTTTCAAACTTTTCATGTGACATAATCAGGACAATAAGTTTAAGCAATATTTTGATATATATTTAAGATCATAAAATTTAATTTTTAATTTTTTTTTAAACTTCGTACAATCAATTATTTTAACCGGAGAGAGCATTTGATTGGGCCAAATATTCCTTAGGCCGAAAGGAAGAAAGTTATGCCAATCATGTAAGTTCAAATGTTTACCGGTGGGAATGCTTAGTCAAGCCAATTTTTTAAAAGTAACATTAGTATTTCTTAGAAAAATATTTATATATATTTCAAACAAATACTAAAAAGACGAGAGTGGAAAATCGGGATGTTAGGGGTGGGCGCGAGTGGATGAGGTGAAAATATAATGTGTCCGAGGGTTAAGATGACACAATTAATATGACATGTCACTAATTTGCTCTTCATTATTTTTCTCATTTTTAAGGAATTTCGTTTCTTTAAAAAAAATTCTTATAGTTTTGATCAATTAAACATGAGAAAACTATCCATATCGAGCACACGTTACATGAAGAAAATAAGAAAATCAGATCTCTTAACCATTGACAAATAAAATAGAAGAAAATAATCTTTTTCAGATTTATTATATATAAAAATATTTCTTCTAGTTCTTATAACTATCACACGCTATTTTGACAAAAAGTCGTACTAATTTTGACAATTGTTTTGTCTACTAATAAAATACTCATAGAATCGTGAAAATAAATTAAAAAGTTTCCCAATTAATTAAAGTTTTGTTTGGTATAACCGTATAGGAATGACCAAACAAGAGAAATACTAATTAAATATTAACCGAATTAGAAAAATAAATAATCCCAAAATGGTCCCTGTTTTAGTGGACCACTACCTCAAATGACACGTGTCATAAATCCATACGGTTAAAATAAAGGATCGTATTTACTCACCGAGATTCCAGAGCCACGTGGTCACGTGGTTCATACCAAGACAGGGTAATTTCGTCATTACACTTTGTCCTTACCGTCACACGAAAAAAAGACGTTGACGCTCTCTCTTCGATCCATAAAACTGTATGCAGTTCCCAGAAGTGGAAATTTTGTGTACTGTGTGTTTTTCTGTGTGTGTTAGTGTGTGTATTTTACTTCGTCTTCTTCAGTGAAATTGTTGTTTGTTTTAATGGAGAATTTGATAGTGGAGGTAAGATTACTATTATCGTTTTTTTTTCTTCTCTTTTTCTCATTCATTATCGACTTTATTCGATGCGTAAAGCTTCATCTTCATGTACTGAGATTCTGAGAATGACGCTTCAGTTAGCTTCAAGTTCAATCTGTTTTTTTTTATCAGCTGAAGAAAAGGGCTTTTCAGTTTTCAAGCTCTTTTATTATTTTTTTAATAAAAAAATGTATGACTGGCTGAACATCGATTAATCCGGATCTTGTTCTTTTAATACTTTTTTTCCGTTGAAATATTATTTATTAAATTGTTCAATCTGAATAAACCGATTTTTTTTACCGTTAGAATCTTGTGAGAATTTAATATCTACGTTACATTTTTGTTATTTAAATCTCAGCACAAGGATTGAAGCAGAGAAAGTTGTGACCGTTGAATTGAAATCCCTTATCTATCTCTGAGGTCCTCATTTTTCCAGTGGAAACAACAGAGAAGGTGAACAGTGAACTCTTTTTGTCAATGTGACTTCTCTTTTTATATCAGCATATGTATATAAAATTTGTTGTTTGGCTATTTGCAACAATCTCGAAGATCCTACCTTCTTGAGACTCAACTTGTGGGGGATTGCACTAGGTTTGTTGTTGTTGTTTGGATATTTGTATTCTATATAGGTTTTGGGGTCCACCATTGCTAAAAGTTTCAAAAGCTTCAGAGCTACTGTGGAAATTTCATAGAATAGTATTGTCACTTGGTGCTGAAGCATACTTGGGTCCCAATATTGGTCCCCGTTAAGCAAAGTAAAGTGGATTGAGTTATGGCGCTTTTTATGGAATTTTAGGTTTTGAAAAAATTGGTATTAAGGTTTTTAAGCAAAGTGCTTAATCACAACTAACACATGAATTGACCTACCTAATCGTGTGGTTAATTTTTTTAAATACTTTCTACGATTAGTTATAGATCATTCAATGGCTACTGTATTCTTTTAGCAATCACAACCACCATGTCTCAAACATTCTAACTGTCTTTCCTTTTTCTGTTGGGTGTTGGCAGCAGCAATATGAGGCAGTGAGAAGTTTTCTTCTTTTTACGCTTACCTTTGGGTGACCCTTGAATCATGGGTCCATTGTTGGCATTGTGATTGGAGTGGCTACAAAGAGAGGAGGGGGAAAAGATAGGCATGGGAGCTATTGGTGGGGAAGAGTTGAAGAAGTGGGAGAAAATGCAAGGAGCTGCATTGGGCGGTGAAGAGAAGATCTTGGTGTTGGTAAGGCTGAGGCCTCTTAGTGAAAAGGAAATTTCAAGGAATGAAGTTTCAGATTGGGAATGTATCAATGAGACCAGCATCTTATACAGGAACAGTCTCCAGGAACGGTCTGGATTGCCAACTGCTTATACCTTCGGTAAGAAAATTCCCTATTTCATCCTTTGTATGTAAACCTGATTGTTGTAGATTGAGAAATGACAGTGAGAGGTGAATTGAGGTTTAGATCTGGATATTTTAGCTTGCAAACTCCGGCTGACATCAATTCCTGGGTTGGGCTGTTCTACTCTGCAGAACTATTTATATTTGTCGGGGTAATTTCATTTGTAGCTCAAGTGCAATTTATAAATGATTTACTGATGCTACACATATCTTCTTGCTTTTCTTTTCTGAGATTAGACAGGGTATATAGAGGTGATTGCTCAACAAGGGAAGTGTATGAGGGAGGAACAAAGGACATTGCTCTTTCTGTTGTCAGCGGAATCAACTGTGAGTGTTCCAGTCATATGCCTTCCACATTTTGTTGCAGATTCATTGTTCATTTGAAAGAAAACTCACTGTTACGACTACCTAAACATATTATGCAGCAACTATCTTTGCGTATGGACAAACAAGCAGTGGAAAGACCTACACAATGAATGGAATTACAGAGTTTACAGTAGCGGACATATATGATTATATGCAAAAGGTAATTTAATGTTAACTGTCACATTATATTCTTTGACTTGGAATGTTTGAGCAGTGCTTGACATAATGCATCTAATCTTCTTTTGTTGCAAACATGATATTTCCTTCTCTTGTTCAGCACGAAGAAAGAGCTTTTGTTTTGAAGTTTTCTGCAATGGAGATCTACAATGAAGTTGTCCGAGACCTCCTCAGCTCAGATAGTTCTCCTCTTAGGCTGCTCGATGATCCTGAAGTGAGTTTCTGTTTCTTAGTTTTAACAGTGAGCAGATGAAGTTTTCTAATGATTTTGAGTTTTGTAGAAAGGGACCATTATTGAGAAACTCACAGAAGAAACTTTAAGGGATTGGGACCATCTGAAAGATCTCTTGTCCATATGTGAAGGTAGTGCGAATCTCCAACTCTACGCTTTAGTTTTAATCACAATATAGAAATTAGCACCTATATATTTTCTCCAGAATTTACTAGTTTTTATGGTCCTTATGCAGCTCAAAGACAAATTGGCGAAACTTATCTTAATGAAAATAGCTCCAGGTCTCATCAAATTCTTAGACTGGTATTGCCTTCCTGTCCTTTTTTCCTTTTGATAAAGTTGGTATTGGCATGTTTGTTCTCTGTACAGAACAGTAAAATACTATCATGGAATAGAGACGTGTGAATATTTCTGATACTTTTTTGTCGTTCTGTTTCAGACAATTGAAAGTTCAGCCCGTGAGTTTATAGGGAAGGACAACAAAACAACTCTTTCTGCTAGTGTGGTATACATCAGTTAATTCACTTAGGATTTTATTGACAGTTTCTTCATGGATGCCTGAGTTGCTGATGGCAAATTTATGATTTTTGAATGCAGAATTTTGTTGATCTAGCAGGTAGCGAACGCGCATCTCAGTCTCTGTCAGTTGGGCAGAGACTGAAAGAAGGCTGTCATATTAATCGTAGTTTGTTGACTTTGGGAACTGTTATTCGCAAGCTAAGGTTGATTGCTTGTTTCTTAAGTCATCTTGCTAAGACATCTAAATTTGCTGCACTTAGCTACATGTCTGAATGATCTTTTAAACATTTATTCAGTTTTGATGTCCACATTGCAAGTTGGGGATTTTTTTCTTTTCATTTCTCAGATTAGCTAAGAAAAGCTTTATGGTGTTGAATAGTATTGCTATGTGAATTGTGTATGTTATTAATAGTACATGGAATGATGTTAACCACAGTATGGACATCCATCACACCCTTTGGCTGTTTGTATATACATTCAAGATGTGTGCATTCAATTAATCTTTTTCCACTACCCTCTTGTTGAAGCTTCACTGCATGTAACAATTTAACTTAATTGCAGCAAGGGAAGACATGGGCATGTCAATTATAGAGATTCTAAGCTAACTCGTATCCTTCAACCTGCTTTGGGGGGCAATGCAAGAACTGGCATAATCTGCACCCTGAGTCCTGCTCGAAGCCATGTAGAACAATCTAGAAATACACTTCTATTTGCCTGTTGTGCCAAAGAAGTGACCACTAATGCACAAGTCAATGTTGTAATGTCTGACAAGGCATTGGTGAAGCATTTGCAGAAAGAGTTGGCTAGATTAGAGAGTGAATTAAAAACCCCCACAACTTCTTGTGATCATGTGGTATTGCTGAGAAAGAAAGACCAGCAGATTGAAAAGGCGAGTTTTCTTTCCTAACTGTTGCTTCTTCTGGAAATTTCAGCTACTAGACTTTGGATTGGTTACCACGAGCAGTTGAATTGATCCGATGAACCAATTGTTAATCTATTTTCTGTTCATGCCAAGGCTTTTATCTAACTGCTGATTTCACTTATTCTTCACTCAGTTATTTTGCATTGTATTTGTCAAAGCATCCTTGCTTCATGTTACAGAAAAATTTTCCCAAGGGCTATACAAATTGAAATGTTTTCATAGAATGTTTATACAGTTTATCTGGTAAATATCTGCAGCTAGAGAAAGAAGTGAGGGAACTAACTAAGCAACGTGATCTTGCTCAATCGCGGGTTAAGGATTTGCTGCAGACGCTTAAAAGTGATAAAACCTCCAGCCAAAAGGTTTGTATTAAGTAACCTATTTGAATTATCCATTAGAGATGTTCCTTTATCTGTTACTTATTTTACGCAAAGTTTCAGGACATATCAAGTCTACCTTCAGAAGGGAACACATATGAAGATGAATGTTCTGTGTCTTGCTCATCAGCTGTAGCAGGGTCCTACATCAGGGACAATGAAAGTGATGCTACCTCCTATGTTGTGCCTGCTGCTGGTCAACAGCAGAGGGTAAAAGCATCTGTAAATTTGACAGGAGAAGATTGTGATGACCATTGCAAGGAAGTTCGATGTATTGAGATGGATGAGTCTAGTGAAAAGCAAACCTTTGCATCCATCAGCTTGTCAAACACTGACTATGGAGAAAGAATGTCAATGCCTCCTGCTTCCAGTATCAGACATTCAGACCTCCAACAGCAATCACCAATGTTACTTGGACAAGCAAGCAGCACCAGCGGTCGTTCTCTTCATGGGGCCTGGGAGCAGAAAATGCTTGATATCCAGAATACAATCAATTCTCTTGTCAGACCTTTCCCTGATGATTCTTCTTCACTTTCCCTTTCAACAAGTATATCAGGTTCCAGAAGCCGTAAATTAACAAGAAGCAAAAGCTGTAGAGCTAATTTTATGATTGGCTCACTTTCACCCGACACTGAGACAGCTGAAGAAAACCAGACCACCCCGCCTAATGTGCTAGATAAGGATTTTCCAGGAAGACCTGAGGGTTTCCAACGGAAGCACTGGAAACTACCCCTATTAATTTATGGAGCAAACAGATCTAACTTATCGAGAAACAATTCACAGTCTTCCATTGGTAGTGCTTTTGTGGATGGGAATAATGTCCCTGGAGATGAGGATATCCCAAGTGTTGACAATTTTGTGGCAGGTCTTAAGGAGATGGCTAAGCAACTTCATGATCAGGTATGAAATATCTTGGTCCCAACTCTGTGTGTTTAGAGCTGCTCACACTTTTTTGCTTGTTTTTTCATGCATGGGATTACTGGAACATGTGTGCATCATTTGGTTTTAGTGCATCATGTTACTTTGGTCGATTTGATGACAGATACTGCTTGCATGATCAGTTTGCTCTTTGATCTGTTTTTGCTTTCTCTTATTTTGGGTGGTGGGCATGACGAGGTAACTGTGCTAGCTAATGCAAAAACAACTATTCAGATTGAATTATGTGTATACAGTTAACAATCTTAGAGTGTAGTTTAAGCTATTTTTGCAATGATTTGTGTAGTAAGCATTAAGTTTATAACTTGACGGAACTTGATTTATGTCACACTTTGTCATCATTTTACATGTATAATATCTATGTCACAGGGTCAAGAGGCTGGAAAGTCGAAAAGGAGCGTCAAAAGTATTGGAGTGGACCCGATGCTGGACTCATTGGAGGCTCCTTCAGATTGGCCTCTTGAATTTGGAAGGCTACAGAAAATGATCATTGGACTATGGCAAACTTGCCATATTTCATTGATCCACAGGACATACTTCCTCCTGCTGTTTAAAGGTGACCGTATGGATTCTATTTACATGGAGGTAGAGGTAAGAAGACTTTCCTTCCTCAAGGAAATACTTTCAAATGGAAGTTCAGCTGTGCAAGGCGGTCAGACAATCACACTAGCATCTAGGTATATTCTCTACCTTGCATCTCTCATACTCCTATTCCCATCCCAGTTCAAGTGAAGTGATGCCAATGTAAATTTGTTATGGACTGAAAATACTAGCTTAAACTTTATGTATAGTCTGGTATCATTAAAATTTTGTAACTACCATCTCTGCAACATCTGCTAATATGATTCATTATCATTCTTGATTTAACAGCCTCAAAGCTCTTAGACGCGAGAGAAATATGCTCTGTAGGCTCATATATAAAAGGTTACCAGGAGCTGAAAGAAATGATATATACCAGAAATGGGGCATAAAGTTGAACTCCAAAAGGAGAAGACATCAACTGGTTCATCGTCTTTGGAATGACACAGATCTGAATCATGTGATAGATAGTGCTGCCATTGTCGCAAAGCTGATTGGGTTCTCTGATCAGGGTCCAGCCCTCAAGGAGATGTTTGGGCTTAGCATTACACCTCCTCCGAGGAAGAGCAGGAGATCGTTTGGCTGGAAGAACAGTATGTCATCCCTTATCTGAGCTTTTTGAAAGTTCAGTAGCAAAAGAAAGATATAGGTGAAATTAGCAGCAATAGTCTTATGATGAATGTAATTGGATTGGATACATGTTGCCAATTCACTGATTATAGGATTGAATAGTCTCCTTTATTAGTTTGCTTAAGTTTGTGCAGTACTACTCTGTGAATCAATTATAATTTGTAGCTTCATATTTGATAGTAATAGATAATGTTCTTAACAATCTAAATCTGGAATTGGAGAAAGTGTTCAAGTAATTCTTTTGGCATATGATATTATAAAACCAATTACTTGTAAGTTGTAACTATCTATATTAACCATAAATTGGCGATGACCAGAACCAGTTAAATGATATAAGAAGTCTACATTTTTTTTTACACCGTTTATCGTGTCATACAATATATTTGCAAGAATTCTAGCTCTTTATTTGTCTGGAATTTAGTAATTTCAACTTTTAAGAACAATGATATGTATACCCAAGTTCTTTTAATTCTGTAGTTCTCATTTTTGAACTTCCAACAATTTAAATTCTCACGGCATAAAATTTCTTAAAAAAGGAACTTCATGCTATTTTTTCTTCTTCTATTTCTATGGCCCAAAGACATGAATAAAATTAAAGAATAAAAAAATCTTAATTATTCCATCACAATTGTTAGTGTCAATGCATTATTTAATATTTAATTACTTGTCATGTGTGTAACTACATTATACTAAATTTCAGTTTCCTGGTCTCTTTACAAACAAGCCTAATTACAATGTACATCCTTTCTTAATTATTCTTATTTGCTATTCACATTTCTTCAAAGTTGATACCAACCAATAAAGAAAATTAACTCAAAGTATATTTTTGTTAGACATAATGTAGTTTAACTAGTTTGTAATAAGATAAAATATGTCATTATTCAGAAAGACTAACCTAATTAAAATAACAAAACATAAATAGTTAAAGAAAAACACCAACTAGATATAAATAAAAATGTAACCCTATAAATGAAAAGGTATGTTGTAGAACGACGTCGTAGGTAGTAGTTCTGAATACAAAGATCCAGAAAGGGGGAGAGAGCTCCGAGTAAACCAGAGGGAGAGAGAGAGAGAGAGAGATTGAGAAAGCGATGAGCGGAATAGCATCGGTATCGTTCTTAGCTCGAAGAGCGTCGCAGAGGGAGAGGGTTCGGATCCTATACAGGCGTGCTCTCAGAGACACTCTTAATTGGGCCGTCCATCGTCATCTCTTCTATCCTGATGTAAAAATGTTTATCACAATTCCTAGGGTTTCTTCCATTGATTCGTTTTTTCCACATTTCCTTCATACGATCTCTATATGATATTGTTTTTACTTATATATAACCGGTATTTCGTTTTATTGATTAATTTATTTGTTTGTTTGTTTTCAGGCGGATGCCCTAAGGGAGCGATTTGAGGTCAACAGAAAAGTGGTTTGTTCTCATTTTTCTTCTTTTTATCCTTTTTATGTGATTTTTCATTTTTCTGGTAAGGATTGTATGGTTTTAGCTTGATGTTGGGAGTGAAGTTTATATGTTTTAGTGTTATACAGTGCTACTTGTTCATGTGTAATGTTTTAATGATGTCTGTTTCACAAAAAAAAAAAAACAGAATTCACCTTTAGTGTACTGTCAAATAAAATGCAGAAGTATTAATTAGTATTGAATACAAGTAGTGATAGAAGTATTTGTGAAGCTTAATAAATTTATTTTAAACTGTATGAGTCCTTAAGTGTTCATTTCATTCTTCTTTTCCTTGTTTTTGTTGTGATTTGTATGTGTACTAGCACATTTTTGGAGTATACAAATTGGCATTTTCTGGTGGGATCATATGTGTTTAGCTCGATATTTGGATTAAAGTTTGTATGGTTACTGTTAAATTGAGTGACTTGTTCATGCTATGTTCTGATTATATGTGTTTCCAAAAAATAATTCACTTTTGTCATGCTCAATTCGTTTTTGATGCACAAGTGATGCTGGAAACAATGTGAGGTCAATGTTGCAGATTCTGCTATATAGTAAGAACAAGTAGTTCCAGATTGGTTTTGGTTCAATTAGTAACTTTCTGGGATTGAGTATTATGTATTAAAGTTCTTTATGGATAATGAAAAATGACTCTGCTTTCATCTTAGTGATGGCTAATTTCATGGCCAAATGAGTGAGGAGCTGCATTCCCTTTTTCAACAAGTGAAATTGTAATTCTGTAGTAATATATTTTGCATTATGTTTGGTGTTTTGCAATTTTATCTTTTAAGTTCATTTTATTCTGTCTTGGTTTGTTAACATTCAGGAAGATGTTGAAACTATTGATAGACTTATAGCTGATGGTGAAGCATCCTACAATAAGTGGCGGCACCCTGATCCTTACATTGGTATGTTTCTTTATGAATTTTGTATCAAACAACTGCACTTCAATCCCAAGCAAGTTGAAGTTTGCTATATGAATCCTCACTATCTATGTATTCTTTGTGAGTTTTTTGCTATCAATAAACTAGATTTTCAATCCAATGAACCAAACATGTTAAGGATATGATGTCAGAGTCTGTATTATATGAGATACAGGTTTTGAACTGAATGAGGTCCCCAGGGTTTGGGTTTTGGTCTAGTGGTAAGAGAGCAGCTTGTACTGTGTGGGGTTAGGCGCATGTCACAGATAAAAGCCTGGTATCTGAAATTATATAAAAAAAAGGCTGGTATTTTGAGTGAAGGGTAGAGGGTGGAGCCCATTTTCCACCGAATTTCAAAATGTCACTACTGGCAAGCAGGGATTTCTCAGCTATCAACAAGAAGCGTTGTATAGAAACTTCTCTTAAAAATTATAGCCGGCATAAGTTCTGTTGAAATCTTTCACATCTTCCCAACTGTTAGGGGTGCTAAGTTCTTAGATCTAGGGAGTATTGTTTTTTCATGTGAAAAGAGACTGCCTCTAATGATGAAATGTCTTGTGGATCATGAGAAAAAAAAAGGAAGAAAAGAAAAATATCTACAGGATACGTCTCATCTGAATTTTTATCTATGTTGAAGTTTGAAGATGCTAATTGACAAGTGATTGCCTTAAGTCTTGTCCTACTTACCTTTGCATGTTTCCTTGTTGGATTATGTGATGATCTTTTTTGTTCATACAACTTTTGTTAAATGTTGATAGCAGTAAACGTCTAACTTTATAATTTTTTAATGTGAATAGATATAAAAAGGATATGCATAAAACCAACTTATTATTAGTTTTTGAAAGGACATAGTTTTTTGATTTTTTGACACACTTCGGAAATGTGATAAATTGTGGAAACATGAGAAGTTGAGTGAACTATTTTATGCTTTAGACTGCTGGTAATAGTTTGTCTTTCAATGATGAGCAGTTCCATGGGCACCTGGTGGTTCCAAGTTCAACAGAAATCCAGTGCCGCCAGAAGGGGTAATTTGCTTAAACATTTATTTACATCACGTTCAATGTGTCAGTTTATGCTAGTTGCTTAAGCCATTTACCTTCCTGTTTCGTCAGTTTTTGCAAATACCATCAGGAGTAATCTTCAACTGTTAATTTTTCTATCTGTTTACAACTTGCTAGTTCATTCCTTTTTAAATGTCATGACATGTGTTGATCTTTATTTTCTCATCGTGAATTGCTATCTGACTTTTTATCCTTATTGTCCTACATTTATATGACTACAACGGGTGGTTTATGCCAATTATATTCACACTTCATGAGAAAATTCAGCTTCATTTAAAAAAAAGTGTTGATGTTAAAATAGTTAAATAAACTGTCAAAGAGGGAGCTTATCAAAAAGATGTCACATCAACGTCATAGCAATACGGTGTCATACTTAGTTGTACTACTGTTAATTACTAGATGGAAATCTACGACAGTAGCAAGAAAAGTAGGACAAGGATATTCTGACGAAAGTAGTAGATGTTCTGCTCCCTCCATACAAGTCAAGTTCTTATTTGAACCTGCTTGTGATCATTAAAGAGTGGTAATTTTTTTATTAGTGAATAGTTTTATTAGAAAAGTATCCAGGGGATGCTGCATCGCTCAAGTATTCAGGATGGGTTGCTGCCATATTTCCGGTTGTCCCTATTTCCCATTTCCTTCCAAGGGATCTACTCAGACATGTGTCCATGTATTTTCTTCATCTTGGAGTAATTTGAATCGGAAATAGTTGTGGTCCAAAAGATTCAGTGTTGGAGTGGAGTAGATCTGGATTGATGTTTGTCCAAATGTTACACCTACCTCTATGCTCTCTCTCTCCCCTGATCCACTTAACCTGACTCAATGTGTAAAAAATGATCTGAATCCAGATCTCATCCATTTTAGGACCATATTTGACCCTAAAAAGGTATCCCCTATGAGGGAGCCAGAACAACAAAGTAAAAGAAGGGTCAAACTTGTTGGATATGTATTGGTCCAAATGCAATCACTTTGGTGTCTTTTGTACTAGGAAGTTACAATACAACTGTATTAGTTTCCTTTGTTTGGGTGTGTAATGGAGTTGATGTAAGTGCACAGAAACCACGAAAGAGTTCACTAGTATCTACAGAATCGACAATACTTTTGTTTCTTTGCTTTTGGTATCTGCAACACCAACTTGGTGCTGCGGTGGTCAATAAATTACTATTTACCTTTTCACAAAAGAAAAATGTTAATTTGATGTCAACTGCGACCCAAATTCTTCTATTCTTGTTATACCAAGCAGACTTCATGGATCCTTTATGTTTAATAACTCCTTGACTCTTGATGCAGATTGAGATATTGTATGACTATGGCAAGGAAGAGGCTGAACTAGTATGATATTCTCCCATGAAATGAATAAAAGGTATAATTATGTTAACTTGTGCATCTTCACACATTTGCGTTTCCCAATACTTTCATCATGTTTATCACCTCTGTTGCTTCCCCCACCCCAACCATCTGTAAAACTTGTCGAAGAAAATTTTGGCCCGACTTTTGGGAAATTTTGAGCTAGTAAACTATTGTCAGGTAACTGGGGCATACACGACATCTGTCGTGAATACCAAGTAGTTTCAATTATCACCTTAAACATGTCAATGAATAAAAACTGAACAACGTCTTTGACATTGGTAAAGGTCTATATTTGTAAATTTTGCCATTTGATTGATATTTTCATTTTTTCGGTGGCAGATTCAGAAAGTGCGGGCATGCAAGGAGAGTTGCATCCAGTCCTGTCTTCTTTTTTAGTGATTCCA